ATATATAGGAACATCGGAAATAATAAATTTGAAACATAGAAAATCATTTTTTACCATCTATTACTGAGACAATGTCCTGACAATCAATCAGATAATATTATCAGATAGTAATCCATCAGAAGATAGTTTTAAGTTTTTTTTTTATGAAGGATAAATGTTTTAATAGATGGATATGTGTTTCCCCTAGGCAATATTGCGGTAGTGAGGTAGTAGTGTTAACATTTTACAGAAATTAAAGACCCACAAGGTTCCGGATACGTATATAAGCACTTATTGTGAGATAAGAAATTAAGCGGTTCAGTAACCTGTACATCCTCAAGTAGACCTAGAGTGACTCGAATAAAGTTAAAAATCATTGTATTACGATTATTACGAAACTCAGACACGTAGACCTACAAAACAGCCTTTCGTACTTGTTCCTTCTTCCAGCCTTTAAATTCCGAGTGACGATACAAATATACCATTCGATTGTTTGCCACATGATCACAAACATGTCTAAGCCCAATGAAATTTTTTTAAGTACAGTAATACTGAGTGTTCTATTTTCTATAGCTATTAAAGCCCAGAACACTGTCAACGAAAAGCATGAAACAGTGTTAAACGAAGATTATGAAGTCTTGTTAAAGTGGCGAGTTGACGGCGATGTTATTTTCTTTGAAATGAGTGCTCAAACTCAGGGGTATGTTGCTATTGGTTTCTCTCCAAATGGTGGCATGCCTGGTTCAGATATTGTAGCAGGATGGGTAAAGGACGGCAAAGCATTTATATCCGTAAGTTTAATTTGGTTTTTTTTAATTGGTTTTATGTAGGTACAATTTAAAATGTTTAAAATAGTAGAAATAATTAAAGGATCAATATTAGGCCTACTTATACAAATATTTCAATAATCAGCATTTAAACAATTAGTAATTAATCTTAAATAAAATTATTTTGAATTGATTTGATTTTGATTTGATTTATTTAATATCTCAGCTGTACACACAGCATTAGTCGAAATACGAAATAGAGATATTTGGATAACCCTTGAAGTCCCTATTAAAGGACTTATTTCAAGGAGTTCATCGATCCTTGGTATTTCTACAGATTCATATAATTTTATTAATATCATATGAGTGGTAAATTACATCTAGGCCTATATCTAAATTGCTTAATCTTTGAAACATTGTTAAATGAAAGAAACAGTTAAAACTTTTAAAAAATTGAAAGTATTTGTTCATGGAATTCATTATTCTGAAATATTATCAACGAGTTTGTTAACAACGTATAAACGATACAAATACTTCTCAACACATTATTTTATTTGGTAATAATTAACAAAAATAATTAAAAGAGTTTGTAACAAAGATCTTATTAAATGAAAGAAATTATGGTTTTGAATATTATACTACAGCAATAAACTGTCTTAAAGCATACATTTACTAGAAGGTCGGCTGATATTCAGAGCCCTCGTTGTATAAATTAAATAGGCCTAATGTGATGCTTTTATCAACGAAGTCTCCCTATGAGGGTTATAAAGTGGAGTTTTTGTTTAGTGGTGAGAAAATCATACTGTAGCAGGAATTGAACTCAGGATACTGGGATTAGAAGGCAAGCATCCAATCACTAACCTAGTAAACGTCCGCTCCACCTGGGGCCCCTATATTTCGAATTTCTTGGATCCACCACTTATTTTACATTTGTATAAATAGAATCTTCAGATCACTTAAATAATTTTCTTGATCACTGTGAAGTTGTAGATTCACCAGCTTCTTTGTTTACTTAATAGTATTTTGTAACGTGTTTTCTAACAGGATTTTTACGCCACCGAATTCGCCAAGCCGATTATGGACTTTTCCAATGATTATGAGCTTCTATATGGATCCGAAGAAGGCGGCAGAACAACAGTCGGATTCAAACGGAAGCTACAGACTTGTGACACCAGTGACTATAAAATCACGGTATATATACTGTCTCTTATACATCTAGATGTGTATAAGAGACAGTATATATATATATAAACTACTGTTATAAAAAAAATATTGTTCAACTGAATACAATTTATTGTAAAGTGAAAATACTTTCAATTATAATATTATTGTCAGTTTCCGCAAGTCGAATAGGCCTAATGGAGGGTCTAATTCAATATTAATTTGGGAAAGTTACGGTAATTTAAACTATTTTGCATTAACTAAACATCTCATATAAACCTAATTAAGGGTGAGATACGGTAATGCATGGCAAGGCGAACTCTCACTTAATTTAGTTTCAAATAGAAATCTTAATTTTAAGCAGACATCTTATATTTTAATTAAAATATCTCCTCTGATTTATTAGTTAGGAAGTAAGATGTCTTTATTTACGACTAAATGGCAGGTGTACTCGCCATATTAGTGATTAATAGCGTTATTACTTTTAGGGTGACACGGCAAGAATTATTTGGGCTGTGAATGATAGAGATCCTGCTACTCTAGATGATCTCTCGTACCATGGATCATCAAGGGGCGTGCGATCACTTGTCCTGCTCGATGCCACAGCCAAGCTGCATGAGCTACCTAAAGATGCAGACAGCTTTGAACTTCTTTTACCTAATGTGAGTACATCTCGTAATATAAACCGCCCTATGGTTTTACGTGCTTGATAGCCAACATTTTGTGGAGGACGTATAACCTTCCAAATAAAGAATGCGGAGTTAGAGTCTTAGTTTGTCAATTATAAACATTGACACTTGTGGTGGTGGTGGTGGTGGTGGTGATGCTGCTGTAGTAAAATAAACCAACACCTTTTCTATCTGCTTTCCTCCCACCACAATCGAAAAAAAAAAACCTACCAGATATTGAGGAGTTTGTATAGATTTCAAGATTGACACAGGCTACTGATAAAGACCATGAAATCTTGCACTGAAAAAAAACATAAACATCTGTGATTTAAATTATGCAAAGAATAGATTTAAAGTAAATTATTTGTCCAATTATTGCTAGAATGTTTTAGTACTTTATAGCTGTTGGTCTACTGTATTAGTGTTAGTATTAGGCCTTCATCTAGGCTATGTTGTCTTTCTCCGCCCAGGAGTGTAAGTTAGTACCTAGTAGGATCTAATACCAAACGCTGATTCCAGTTGCTTATGGAATGTTGCTGCCTATGGAGCTGAGGATGTGTTCAGTAGGTGTTTGATCAGGGAGTAATAATGTAAAGTGCATAGAGACAGTTTATTGCAATATGCCCTATATAAATGTCGAATTATTACTATATTATTATTTTAAGGCAAAGAATGTTGTGTATTAAATTGTCTTGCGTGAAGCAAACCCTGTACTCCACCTTCATCAAATATGCCCTGCGATGCAATCTCATTTTCTATCAATATTTAGGTGGCCGTGCCGAGCGACGATACAACGTATTGGTGTTCAACTTTTGCAGTACCTAAATTCGATAAGCCTGTGCATGTGTTTCGAGTAAGTTTAATTTTATTTCATTAAATCACGATTTACATTGGATTTTCCTATCTACGACATTGAATATTGATATTCGTATTAATATTATTATCTATTATTATTATTATTATTATTATTATTATTATTATTATTATTATTATTATTATTATTATTATTCCTGTTGAGATAAAATCTTGAAAGCTATTTCATTGAATGCGTACAGGAGTCGGCGCTTTAAGTCATCAATGGAGAGGTCTGATCAGACTGCTTATCATAATATTGACAACACCTGTACCCTCTGCAAACCACCTTCAGAAGCTGGTCTCTTTGACGTTGGACCTGAAACGAGGGAATGGCTAAATAATACGGAGTTTGCCATCTGGTGGTACACAAAAGAAGAAAGGGCTTCAATAATTTATACATACTAGCTATTAAATTAAAAAATATAAAATTCATAATTGTATTTCACTCAAAACTTAAACGTAAAGAGTAGGCGAAAAGAGTAAATGTCCCTGAACAAAAAGCCTGCCAGAGAAACAATGATAATAGTGATAACATCATCAACAATAATAATAACAATAAACAAAACAAAAAACCAAAAACAGAAAAAAAAAAAAAAAAAAAAAAAAAAAAAAAACAGTTTGCCTACGGTGGAAGAGAAGAAGGTTACGAGTAGGGTGTATTTTCAGTAATATTATTTTTCGATTATATTCTAGTTTGATACGATTGTGCAAGAAGGCCACGAAGCTCTTGTGCACCATACGCTACTGTACGGTTGTCGTGGTAATGTTTCGTCAGTTCTTGGATATTCAAGTACTTGCGAAAGGGATAATATGCCTCCTGATCTCGAAAAATGCTCTCGAATATTGTACGCATGGGCAATAGGTGCCGGAGTAAGTTTGAATATCTTTCTATTGTTTTACCTTTAAAACGCTTTAATATACTAATTTAATTGAGACAACTATTTTAACAGTCAGGGTACCGCGTAGATACGTCCGGTTTTGTAATTAAATGCGGTGTTAGATATTAGCTTAGTCGGTTCATCAGCAAAGACGTTTCCATCAAGCCACCATATTTTTACTTAAAGCGTTTGCAGATTAAAGATGTAAATGTCCCCTGAAAATGAAAAAAATAAATTTGGAATTGACTTGCTCATTTTGCAGTAACATACAAATAACTTGAGCCTACAATAGTATTTTATACTGGATAATGATAAAAAATATTAAACCACTTCCAGTGACTGGAAGTTTTTCTCTCATTTTTCGCTGTAAAATGATGGGTAAACATTTTAGAAATACACTAATAATGTTCAAGTTGATAATTTTGATAGTTACTTTTAAAATGAGCGTGTTAATTTATACTGATTTTTATGATATTTGGGTTTTTTTGTTTGTTTTTGTTTTTGTTTTTTTTGTATTTTGCATGGCACACAACTTCTTTAAGTACGCGTACCAAAATATGTTTCAACAGTTTTACGTCAGCCACTTGACTTTTCAAACAGCAAATGTACTTGAATTGATAACAAGTTTCGTTATTTGTTAATGTAATGTTGCTCTGTAAAATACAAAGAGAATTCGAAAATGTATTAATATTCGTATTTATATAAAACATTTTAAAATCATTGTATACTAAGTGGCACATAAGCTTCAGCTTACTAAATTTCATATGTTTATCAACTTCTTTAATTTCAGTCGTTCGAGTTTCCAGAACACGTTGGCTTACCACTTGGCGGTGAAAGTGATCCAACATTCTTTTTTGTTGAAATGCATTATGACAATCCTGGACGTAGGGCAGGTGATTGTTTTATCATAACTTCTAAAATAAATAAATATATATCATTATTATGTAGTAAACAGCTGCTGACATGACTTGTATTTCTGTCTCTTATTAATGATATATTTAATATTAAAAAAATTACAATGAATTACTAATAGTTATAAAACAGATCAATACCGTATGTTATCAACCTCAACGTTTAAGGCTCTGTCCAGGCTATTAAATTGACAACGCATCTGGCCCGCCTAAATATTGTCATGATGATATCACATAATTTGTTAAAGACTCCCTTGATTCTTTTAAAATAAGCCTAAAGTCTTACTTGTTCACCAAAACTTCTTCAGGGTACAATGCGCCTTTGATAATTTTTTTTTTTTTTGGAATTGAAAATATAAATGTTGATTGATTGATTGATCATGACCGTATATTGGAACATATACGGTCATATATAATACAACATACATATATAATACAACAGTTCTTTTGTCAACATTTAAAGACGTGTCCTGGCTATCAAATTTCATTTTACAAAAACATGTGACATGCCTAAATAAGGCATCATTATGATGATGGCATCACATAATGAACATATAGGAACATGATGACTATATATGGGCATACAAAAGCTTTTTTTGTCAACGTTTAAAGCCCTGTCAAGTCTATCAAATTTTAACATGCGACATGCCTAAATAAGGTAACATCACATCTTATGATAACATCATGTCATAAACATAATATATAGGAATATCATAACTATATATGGGCATACATAGGTTTTTTGTCAACGAAAATTGTATAATCTGAGCAAAGCCTAACGAAATTGTCTCCATTATTATTTTTTTTTGGTTTTATTAGATTTCGTTGACAGCTCTGGATTCAAAGTCCATTATACATCGACTCCTCGTCAATACGAGGCTGACATCTGGATGGTAGGCGAGGCTTTTCGTCCAACGGGTCAAATGATTCCTCCAAAGGAATCTGATTTTAAAACAATGGGATTTTGTTTGGGTGATTGCACAAAAGTGGTAAGCTTTATGTTGAGAATCTTATTCTGCTAATAATATTTAAGACATTATAAAACATATGATTATCATAGTATTTTATTAATTAAATATTATCTTAATAATGTCTGCATAGATTTAACTGGGCCCTACTTGCACCCGCCTATGGTACTTATTTTTAACGAGGAGTTTTAGTGAATCAAATTTTGCCTCTGACTATTATCTTCACCTTATTGATTTTGTATCGTCCTGTTTATATTTTTTTTGGTTGAAAATAAATTAAAGGGCTCAGTGGGAGATTCAACGAGGGTCAACCGGCCCAACCCCCACCCCCTACATTTAAAAAAAATTATAAACTCAAATGGAGAAAAAAGTAAAATTATATTCAAAAGTGCCATAATTTTCTTACCTACTATGGTGGAGCTGAGGTGGTCTATACCCGCCTCTATTCGAATTCCTGCGGATCCGCCATTGGAGCCCCATCTTGATATTGGGCGTGGAAAATGTATGTGTTTACTTCATGTGGCCTGCGACATAATATTAGTTATTAATTTTTTCAGATAAAAATAGATAATAATAAATAATTAAATTGGTCAGGTATAAATTTTATATATTTACAGAGCATGTCGGAAGACATCAAAGTGTTCGCAGCGTTCCTTCACGGTCATCTTACAGGTAATGTTACTTTATATTTGGATTGATCTATGTTGTTTTAAATCCACACATTCTGTTGAAAATGTTACACATACACTACACATTTGATTTAGATTTGTACAAATATTACATTATTATTATGATTATTATTTTTATTATTATTATCATTATTATTGTTGGTATTGTTATTATTATTATTGTTGTTGTTGTTGTTGTTGTTGTTGCTGTTGTTGTTATTATTTTTATTATTATAACAGTTCGGAAGATTAGCATGCAGCATTATCGTGACGGCAAGCTTATTGACGATATTCGTGACGATAACTATGATTTCAACCTTCAAGAAACGCGTCTGCTGACAGAGGAACGAATTTTTAAGCCGGTAAGTGTCAAGCCACTATCAGATAGTTAAATTATTGTTTACTTTGTCATTATTAAATTCAATGTCAGTGGTCAATGGTCTTGCATTTTTATACCCTCCACAATAATACCGTCTCAAGGTACTTCAAAGACTAACAATCTACTACAGGTAATTTAATAATTTAAAAATGGATGACAGGTTCCGAACGCGGAGAGGAGGAAAGTGCGCACCCTCGATGTGGATATGGCTTCGCCATTGCTACCATGCACACGTAGGTACCTCGGCGTCATTGTGCTGCGCCTTCTCAAGAAAGGAGGTGCACATTGGAAAATAAAGAAAATATCAAACTTAACTACTGTGTATTTTATGCATTTAACAGGGTGACGATTACGTGGTGACATGTTCTTACAACACAATGGACAGAGAAAACATTACAGTTGTACGTATTATGATTATATTTACATGAAAACTTTAACAATTCTTTTATAATATTGACGGTGTATTGTCCCATGCAAAATACAAACAAAAATTTTAAAAATCCATTTTGAAATTAACTTGCCCATTTTGAAATAACATAAAAATTATCAAATTGAAAATAAAAAATAGTGTATTTAAAAAATGTTTATCATTATTTTACAGCAAAAAATGATATAAACACTTCCAGTCACTGAAAGAGTTTTATTATCTTTATTATAATTATCCAGTTTAAAAATCAGGGTACACTCAATTCACTGTTTTCTATGCTCAAGAAGTTCAAGTGCAAACTTGAGCAAGTTAATTTCAAAATTATTTTTCAGGATTTTTTGTCGCTAAGAAGAACATCCTTAATTACTGCAGGTATTGGATTCGAATACCGCTGGAGGAAAATAGTGTTTTCACAATAATTACCTACTGTAACGTTCATTTTCATTGATTTGAAGGTGAACACCAAGAGTTTGCAATGTCAAATTGACCTTCCCGGAAAAAGCTCCACTCTTTGGTTATTGTTGTTGTCCCACAAAACGATAGGGAGCTTTCGATTGCACGACGACGGTAGGACGTAGAACGTAATGACGTCACTAAAAGTAAGGTCACCTCGTCGAGCAGATTCTGGAACGCAATTTGTCCAATTCTACGTATGCAGAGAACGTAGGACGCCAGGTAGGACGGTCACACGCATGAGTGATTCCGTTCTAGCGTCACGTCGTCGCACAATTCGATAGCTGATCCCTACTAGCGTTAAATGTACGTAAACAATGGCGTTTGTGGGACACAACACGTGCTTGTAAGACGCAAGCATGTTCCTGGGCTTGTTCTGTTTGGTCAGTTTTTAAGTTTGATTGACGCTGTAGAAAGGTATATTACGTAACTTGCACAAGCTTGGCACACTGACTTCTGATGATTGGCTTTAAATTCACACAAAGTCCTAATTGGTATATATTATTATTAAACAATTTCCATTATTTTCTATTCTTTTTTCTTCCTGATTAAATATTATAATATCATATCATTTATAATATATTATATGATTTATGGTGTATATATTTAGCCTTTAATGGTAATGGTGATATGATAATTGTCAACTAGTTATATAATTTAATATTATTCCTTAATTATTACATATTTTTTAATTGTTTTCATCTTCGTGAGTGTTATTATATTTACTACTACTCTTACTATTTTGATTAACTTCTTAGGGAGGTGAAAGCACAACGAATGAGATGTGTGTATCTTTCGTGTACTACTATCCAAGACAATCGAGATTGGGTTACTGCTTATCCAGTCCGAGTGAGGCCAGTGTCATCAACATGCTGGGACTAGACGAGGGTCAAAAGTAAGTATTTTAGACATCATTATATTTTTTTCATCATAGTTAATTATCATATACAATAATACCAGAAATTATCATAAACTAGTGTTATGAATTCCTATCCTCAATTTTTACTGCCATCAATTATTATCATATATTATTGCCATATTGTTATTATTATTATTATTATTATTATTATTATTATTATTATTATTATTATTATTATTATTATTATTATTATCAGATGTATCGAAATATTAGATAAGATAAGATAAACTTTTATTTGTCCAAGCATTAAAACATGTTGGACATTCGTTTTCCATGGCGTATTTACATACAAAATACTGTACATAGTAAAAATCAATAAAAAACATATATATACATAGTAAAATATATATATACTAGTAAAATACATGAAAATACATAAGATATTATTCTTATTACAATTATTATCACAATTGTAATCATTATTACAATCATTATTATTACGATCATTACAATCAATGCTCTAGGTGAATGTTTTAATATATTCATACAATACGTTATGTTTTTTTCTCTCACAATCAATAGCAACTTATTAAACCAAATAAAGCAAATGAATTCAAAAGAAATGAAAGATGGATTGAAAAAAGTGATGAAGAAAGGAAAACGTTACAACTTTTGCATAAATCCTGTTACAACAAGAATGCATGTATGTAGACTTCATATATTTAACATTATCTCTCTATCTATCTATCTATCTATCTATCTATCTATCTATCTATCTATCTATCTATCTATCTATCTATCTATCTATCTATCTATCTATCTATCTATCTATCTATCTATCTATCTATCTATCTATCTATCTATCTATCTATCTATCTATCTATCTATCTATCTATCTATCTATCTATCTATCTATCTATCTATCTATCTATCTATCTATCTATCTATCTATCTATCTATCTATCTATCTATCTATCTATCTATCTATCTATCTATCTATCTATCTATCTATCTATCTATCTATCTATCTATCTATCTATCTATCTATCTATCTATCTATCTATCTATCTATCTATCTATCTATCTATCTATCTATCTATCTATCTATCTATCTATCTATCTATCTATCTATCTATCTATCTATCTATCTATCTATCTATCTATCTATCTATCTATCTATCTATCTATCTATCTATCTATCTATCTATCTATCTATCTATTTTCTTTTTTCTTTTTTTTTCCCTATTTAATAATTGCTCAATTATATTAAACATTACCAAATCTATAGTTAAATTGAATATATGTTTTTTTTTCTTGTTTCCAGGAGGGTATAGAATTTGAAGTCGATTTTCCACCATGGTACAAAGAGGATCAGCGAATCATAACACAAGATGCGTGTGTATTGGCCTCTATTAATAGTGGTAGCAAGATGATGAGGGCGGGCTATTGGAACACAATTCCGGTTTTTGCAATCTTCATGTGTTTGTATGCGATGTTTACAGTATGATGTTTTATAATTATATTACCATGAGGAAATATAAGTAAATTGTTGTGTTCCCTATGTATTTATTATTAGATTATTACATATGTAGGTGTATTATAATACAGTATCTTGAATATTAGGGCTATGTAAATAGAATGATTATTTAAAGCTGGATTGTTCCATGAAAATCTTGAGACAACTATACAAAATATCTCATAAAATACATTAAAAATTATAAAAATTATTTTTGAAATTAACTTGCTGATTTTAAAGTAACATATAAATATCAGTTTTGAACATAGAAATATTAGTGTATTAAAAAATGTTTACCAATTTTTCTGTGATTAAAGAAATACTTCCAGTCACTGGTGGAACAGTGTTTTATTATTTTTATTATCATTAATCATTATCCAAATCAGACAATTTTTTATTCAAATCAATAACTTTTCTATACTGAAATTAGTAATGTATATGTTACTTCAAAATTAGCAAGTTAATTAAAAATTATTTTAATGATATTTTGTCATTTTTAGGGGAATTTTGAATGAAAATATAATGAGCAAAATTAAGCTATTTGGCAAACGACAGCTTAAAAACACCGTCTGATATCTTAAATGTGTTTATGATATATTTAAAATTACAGTATCGAAACGATCTAGGTACTTTGTAAACTATATTATTGAACTGTATTATCAATGCCAGATCTTTGAGGTAGTTATTCCTGTCTTTATATGATATATTATTAAAAAAATAAACATTGTTATAGTGTTAAGCAGACACAATGCCATTTTGTTGATCTGCTGTAGTTCTAATGTTAACATAAATATTCATTGCTGAATTGTTAGTCTTAATTGCTAATGAGTACCGTCAATATTTGTAATAAACTGAGTATTATAAAGCACATTACTCTCGTATTTGTGTTTAAAAATTTAACAAGGAACTTTTTTGTTGTATATCAAATAGATACATTACAAAAGCAAATACACGTAGGTCTATACAGTACAATCACTTATCGAGACATCACTCACTACATAACAGTGGCGTATCTAGGAATAAGCGGGGAGACGCATACTCCCCCAGTCGTATCCATTGAAATTGTTTGAAGCCAAAAAATCACGCTCAAGTTCTAAAAAATCACCTTAAATCCCCTTATTTAGTGAGCCTCTCACCTCATATCGAGCTCACTAGTACTTCACCTTGCGCCTCCATCAGAATGTTGGCGTCTATTCACATTCTAATTATTACAAAAAAAATACATTGTTAATATATTTTTAACAATAACTAGGCCTATAACTGGACAAATGTCTAGGAATGTAACAAATAAAATAAATAAATAAGAAATACATGTTTTACTTCAATTAAAGACCCCTTTTCTGTGGCTATAAATGTTAGGCTATTTTTTTTTGTGATAATTTTTGTAGGCTGCAAAAGGCAAGTTAACCTCGGTTTTTGATTAGAGGGACGACCCTTAAAAAATAATTCCAGGAATAATTCATATTTTGGCTTTAGTTTCGGAAAACAAATCATTGCCACTATTCTAACTAAAAGTTACTACAATTATTACTATAAATTTAGGAAAAACTCCGAATGCCTTGCAATTATGTAAAAAATTAAAATCCAATTCGGCTTTGTTCAAACGAAGAGTAATCTTCAAATCACGGTATTCAATTATATATTCAGAATAATAATTAGCTACACTTAGTCCAGATTTTAGAGTTACTATAGTTGGTCAAACTTATTGTCAAACAAATCAATCTATCTATTTAATATTCAGCATGACTAACTAAAAGTTACTACAATTATTCCTATATTGGGACATGATATTATTACATGCAGATTTTAAGCACAAATCATCTTTAAACCGTTTATTTTTTAACAATATTGCAGTATTTTACTGTACTGTATTAATAATTATATTTGTTCTCGGAATTGAGTGGATTGCGGGTTTTTACAACCAATGAGAATTCGCCACATTTACCAAGCATTAAGGAGGGCGCTATTTCCAGGTAAATTTTCCGCTGTAGTTTTGTAGTAAAAAAGACACGTTGACTTGATGTGATTGATTGAATAAGCCGGTTTCATTTGGCAACTGTTGTGTTAAACATCGAAGAGAGAGGTAAAACTGATTGATGTTTTATTTCATTTAAGTTTACTATATTTTTCTAAGCAGACAGGTTCTCAGTGAGATATCCATAACTTAGCCTAGTTAGTTTACCATAATTAATTTAGGCCAGGCAGGGGTGCTGTAACGGAACACCGGCCAACGAAACCCGCTGTAACGGCTTGCTTGCGGTCATAAGGTATATGACATAAGCCCTAGGTTTAGCCTAGGCATAGCCTAGGTTTAGATTTTCTTGTCGGTGGTACACCACCAGTCTGTCAGCGTAGACCATAGACATTACAATAATGTAGGCCAGTCTTAAGACAAGCAAAAATCGAAAAACCAAAATCGATAGGTAATTTTAAAGTCGGTCAAATTGTTGTCGTTTTCAGTAACTCATATAGAGAAAAAAGGAGATCAGGCCTAGGCTAAATGATTTTCGTTTGGTGCAAGATCTGACTTCCTTAAAACTGACTAGGCCTAGGCCTGTGTATAGCAATTTTTCAGGTTTAATTTAAAAACACTTTTTAATAATGGGCATTTCAAAAACAAAAATTATTCAAAAACATGAATCAACACATTTAAAACGTGTTTTAGTACCAAACTTTGACAGGCCATAAATCTTAAACCACTTGGGATTCGATCATTTTTTTTTGGCATGTGTTCATTATATACATAGATCAACCTATTTAAAAAAATTTCGGCAATTCCCGAGAGTTGACTTGTACCATTTCCAAAAAAATATGTTTTCATTTGACACAGAATGGCTCTTTTATTAATTTTTTTTTTTTCAGATCATTCAACAATAACATTTTTCAAAATTTTAGGTGTGAATTAGGGTGAATTTGAGCAACATGGGGAGGCTACACATTGCTGTTCTAGCAACGGTGTTTGTTGTGTTAAGTTTAACTCAACAAAGTAAAAGCTTAGCAGTTATGTCAATTGATCTTGGAAGTGAGTGGATGAAAATTGCAATTGTAAAGGTAAGAGGTTTAGTTACTGTTCTATATTTTATATTTCTAATTTTTTTTTTTTTAACTTCAATGCACCGAGTATTTATGTGTGTGTGTTTCAAAAGTGTTTACAATCATTTGAATTGAACTGATAACCTTTATCCAGTGGCAAAAAAGCTTGTGTCCCCCACCCCCAAAACCTTGAAAATGTCCGAACCAAAAAATTTTGCTCCACTAGTTAAAAATCACCTTATTTTGAGACTTACTGTAGCTCCCCCTACTTAATCATCGATCCCCACTCCAGATACAGGCATCAAGCAGCCCCCCCCCTTCTTTTTCAAACCCCTAAGTGCGCCACTATCTTTATTGTCAATGTTGTAGTTTCTGAAGCATTACCAACAACATGAAATAGAAGAAATATTTTTCTTAAATACTTTTTGCGCAGTTGGTAACTTGTTGATATACTGATATCAAGGAATCCAAACCTTTGTTTATGTTAATTGATGATAAAAGGATATTAAATTTTATCTCAATAGTAACAACTCTCTTGTGTTTCAGCCTGGGGTACCAATGGATATAGTTCTGAATAAGTAAGTAAAAAATATTAAAATTTATTTTTTAAAAAACAGTGAAAGTAAAATTATGTTCATAAATATCTATTCTTTCTTGTTTTAATATAATGAATTTGTTAAATTTGATCATCTATTAGTGAATTAGACATTCTTTTTAGTTTTCCAAGTATTAAACTTAATTTAGGGGTCCCACAAGTCTCCCAGAAGTCGCATGAGTCTCCCGGAAATTCTCCCACACCCCCGCTAGCAAGCAAGAATTATCCTAGAAAAAATCTATCTTCTGCAAATTCATAATACTGTAGTTGCTTGTTTCAATATTATCAATTATATCATGGAAGTAAGAAACCAGATCTCACGTCTTCCAAATTTGGTCCCAGTTAAGGCGAGACATTTTTCATTCCTTGTTTCACAGACTCATTTTTTTAAGGATCATCAGACTAGGGCAGAAAAAAAATATAAATAAAGTTTTGTTTTCTTATAGAAAATAAAAGTAAAATTTTATTGGTAAATGTAGACTTAGGATGGTTAAATGCTTTAAATTTATATAGTTAGTAAGAAATATACATATCTTATCTTCGGAGATTTCAAGGCAGCCGAGTGCGTAATAAAAATAAAGACGGCATGTACGCTAATTTCTCAAAGGGGGCGGGTACGTTAATTAGGCGAAAATAAAATTTTATATTTATTCAAAATCATTATTATTTGCGAGCGGCTGGTTTTGCTAATCAAGTTGTATAAAAGAAGTCTCGCCTAATGCAATTTATAATTTTTTATTCTACCAGAGAGTCGAGAAGAAAAACGCCAGTCGTAGTATCGATGAAAGATGATGAACGTCTGTTTGGTGATGCTGCTTTGGGAGTGGTAAGTTTCAACATTTCTTTTTTTATTTCGTATAATGGTACTCAGCCCCCCTGATATAAGGACAAATTTTAAGTGAGTCGATTGGCTGAGCGTTTAAGGCAAGCCGCTGTAAACCTGCACTCGCGTGCACTTTAAGGAACTGAGTCCATCATTAGTAACTAATAGGAGGACACCCAGTGAGCTAATCCTTACAGCCCCTGTGGTGGACACATTGCTACTAGTTTTCCTGGTAGGTCAAAACACTATACACTCTCTTAGGGGTGTAGGAAGTTTCTAAGAAAGATGCCCATGCATTGAGTGCCATGAGTGTTCGGTTTATATGGCGGAAACCGGCAGTATACAAATATCCACTATTATTTTAGTTATTGCATTCTTCTTTACTTAATGTCTGTCAGTATCCAGTGACTTCTGGAGTAGTATAGGCTAGGACACTGAGTTGACTAAGTGTTTTGTCTATTTCAACCCAATAAAACATGAAGTCCGATTTTTCCCAATGCGTTACTGGTTATCTTTGTTATTTCCAATAACCATATGGTAGCATAAACTAATGATAGAATACGTAAGACATCCAGCCAACGATAGGCCTACGATATACAAGATACGCCATCTAATCAGTGTAACGATTGAACTGCAATATAGTAACAATAGATAATAAATAATGGTAATTATTAAAACTTAACAATTAATGTGACTTAAGCATTGGTCTTCATATCCTATATTGGCATGCAAGGTCTGTATTAAGAATACATGCTAAATCAGTCATGTAGACATCCATAATATATTAAGTTCTTTTGTATTCTATAATTGAAACTACTCAAGGTGTGCTCAGCTAGGGGTTGATGAAACAGATGAATCTTAAGATCGAACTGAGAGATCCTTTTGTATCATTCTCGACGCGCGCATGTATATAAGCCATACGCATGTTTGCCATAGCAACAAGAATGCGAAATAATACAAGATGCAAAACGGCCATAACTCTAACTATAAGTAAATTTTGTTTGTTGATAATTTAAGTAATGCTGGCTTACTGCAGTCTTATTAAGACTCTTAAAATGCTTATTTAGTATATGACGAGAATATTAGAGAATTGAAAGGCCTGGTCTATCTGTTTTATTCAAGTGATTTATATTTATAAACAGCTTACTTTTTTAAAATTCATTTTATGCAAATAATATATTTTTTGTAATGCCAAAGCTCTGTCCACACTCTGGTATTTTATGTGATAAATTTGTGTGATGTTCCCAAATGGGCAGGATGAAGTCATATTGCACCCACATTACACATCACATTGTCACATAAAAATGTTATAATGTGGACATGGCCTTATGGCAGTTGAATTGACATCTTATGTGTTTTAAGCTCTGTCTACACTATCATATTTTATGTGACAAATTTGTGTGATGTTCCCATATGGGCATGATGAAGTCATATTGCACCCACATTACACATCACATTGTCACATAAAAATTTTTTAATGTGGACAAGGCCTTATGGCAGTTGAATTGACATCTTATGTGTTTTAAGCTCTGTCTACACTATCATATTTTATGTGACAAATTTGTGTGATGTTCCCATATGGGCATGATGAAGTCATATTGCACCAACATTACACATCACATTGTCACATAAAAATGTTATAATGTAGACAAGGCCTTATGGCAGTTGAATTGACATCTTATGTGTTTTAAGCTCTGTCTATCATTATCACTATCATTTTTATGTGACAAATTTGTGTGACGTGCACATATGTTCATGATGATGTCATATTACACCGACATATAGACGCATCACATTGATACTGTAGATAATGTGGACAAGGTGTCATGACAGTTTAATCTTGGCATCTTAATACTGTATGTTTGATAAAGACAGCATTTTAAAAGTCTTGTATACTAACCATCTGATTTTATTTCTTTTTTAGAGTGTGCGATATCCCAAGCATGCCTACTTTTATTTACAAGATCTCCTTGGCAAATCATTCAATAACTCAATTGTCAAACAGTATAAGCAAAGATTCCCTTTTTATAATATAATAGAAGACAGTGAAACAGGTTTGTACAACTTCTTTCTTGGTATTAGAGAGGTTTTGCACGTGAACGAATACATGTACGCACACGTTTAGTTATCTGTATTGGTTTTGTAGCCATGTTGTGCTTTTTGCAATGGCAGTGAAATTTAAGCATAGAACCTTAGGCCTAGCCTAAGCTTTCCGTTTTTTTCTTTCATCGTCCTTCTCTCATCATCCTTCGCAAAATCAGATTTTGGTATGGGTAAAGTTTTGGTATGTATAGTTTTGGAAATTGGAAGTGGTAGCCAAATAATACGTCAAAAATGATGACGTATATGTCACACTAACTGTATACGTTCGCATGCGAAACTCCCTATTTATTTTTCTCATTCAAAGTCATCTGAGTGTCAAGAAGTTCTCTGTTGGATGAGAATTTAATAAGAAGTTTATACTGATTTTCATTGTGTATTTTTAAGCTCTAGCCATATTGTTATTGTTAGCAATTATTGTTATTGCTAGCAATATATGTTATTGTTAATTACTACTTTGTTGTTATCCTTCTTTAGGAAAACCATTGTTTCAGCATGATGAAGAGCATGCCTATTCCCCAGAGGAACTCATGAGTATGATCCTAAGCAAGGCAAGAGATTTTGCTGAATCATATGCTGGTAATAATCGCCTTTTTATTGTTATGTTTGGATTGGATTTATTCGGTGTAAATACCAAGGATAACCCGCGAAAGTCTGAAGAAGACTTATTTCCAGTGGGATCCTTCTAGTGGTAGTTGGGCAGCTGCTAGTTTATATAAAGGATATTTTTCTTGGGTTAATGGTTTGAAAACTTATTTATTGATCTGTTTTTAATAACTTTGTTGATGATATTATGCTTGCGGTATAACACACAGATTGGAGATATGTACCGTATATCTATTAGCTATTTAGTTGTCAAAATATATTTATGTGGTGTATGCCAAGTATTTATCATTGTTACATTGCCATGCAAACCTTCAACAAGGACTTAATAAATCAATTTAGTTACTTTATATTCATTTATTAAGAGTTTCTCCATATTTTCATATAGGTAGATTAGCAAAACAATTATAAGACATTCATTCAAATAATATATATTTCTGTTCATTTCAGAGCATCCAATCAAAGATGTCGTAATAACAGTACCCGCTTACTTCAACCAGGCTGAGAGGCGAGCTCTAATGTATGCAGCTAAGCTATCGGGTCTTAATGTGTTGCAGCTAATAAACGACAACGCTGCAGGTAAAAGTCCTATATAAAAATCTCATCTGTCCAGACTATCAAATTACATGCCTAAATATGGTCATGATGACATCACATCTTGAGTCATGACCATATATAGGCACATCATGACTATATATGGGCATACAACAGTTTTTTTGTCAAAGAAAATTTGATAGCATGGTCAGAGCCTTATACTGTATTGTTCATCTTCCCTATTCTTACCATTCATCTATTATGTTAGTATAAAGTCAGTGAGTGTAGTTATTACACCAGTTGTAAAAATGGATTTCTAATTCTATGTTATTGTAATTGTATCCGTACATACATTAAACATCCAATTACATTTAAGAATTTGTTTAAGACCGGTGTTACAATAGCCACTGCCTATTTTATTTTTACGAAAGCATAAAGCAAAGCAGTAAAACCATGAGCATCCAATCGAGAGATACTGTAGGGATTCAAGTCTGAGGCTGTCAGATTTAGTTTGTCTTTAAGATGGGCGATTCCTTTATTTTACGTCCTGTGCCCAAATACTGAACTATACGTAGTGGGTGATTCCATTATTTTCTTTTATGCTCGAAGGTAAAATATCTGATTTCCGTGACCCTGTCTTTTGAACTTTTCCAAACATTTTATTATCTCTTTCTTAGATTATTATGTAGCATCCCACTAAATTTTTTGATGAATCATTCCTTTATTTTTGCGTAATCTTGCTAACAAAAAGACACAGAGACAGCGGTGAATACATAACTTCCTTTGCGGAGGTAATAATTAATTTTAAAATATTTAAGCAAATTAGTTTAAATTGATGAAATAAGTTTTGTTCATACTGTTATAAAATATTTTATTTTAAATTCCCAGTTGCTTTAAATTACGGCGTCTTTCGTCGACAAGAGTTTGACAAATCCATTCAACATATAATATTTTATGACATGGGAGCTACAAGCACTACGGCCACCATTGTAGGATACAAGTTAGCAAAAACCAAAGACCATGGAGTTTCAGAAACCAACCCTCATTTATTTGTCAAAGGTGTTGGGTAAGTCAGCATATCTGTTTTTAATGTTTTCTTTGATATTTCAACAAAATACTACCTAAGTTATTTAGCTCATTAAATTGTTTGTTTCATGAATACTTACATCTGATAAATGCATATTTATGCAGTGCGACAGCAGCACACGACTGCGACAAAAATATTCTGTCATGCAATGCGGTCCATTAACACAGCACGCGTCGACAGCTGTGACGCAATCAACCTTCATGGATTTTGCTGCAATAGTCAGTGCACTCAGAAGAATGTCAGTGATTCATAAGAATATATTTTGTCGTGCAACAGTTTTTCGAAATAGAAAATTCTTCTATGCTAAGCAACACAACGTTCTGTGGAGTAGTCACATTGCGTTCCATGTGGATCACCATATTGCTTCTATTATTTCTGCTGTTGTCGCATGCTTTGAGGTCTTTGGCGGCATAGAAATTGAAGATAGTGTAGGCCTACAAAGTTTTTTTTTTTTTAACTAAAAGCTTTCCAATTTAATTTAATAATCTTATTTTAGATTTGATCGAGGTCTTGGTGGCCTGGAAATTGAATTGAGGCTACGCGATCACCTTGTAAAGCTTTTTACAGAGAAAGTAAAGACAAAGGGTGATGTGCGAGACAGCCCACGTGCCATGGCAAAGCTTTTGAAGGAAGCTAAACGTTTGAAGAAAGTATTGAGTGCAAATGTAGATCATTTATCTCAGGTATGTTATTTTTAATGTCAAAGGTAAAAGTGTATGACCCACAAGAGAAGCTTATCAAAATTCATTTTTTTATAACCCAGTCTTTGATTGTATAACTCTTATGCAAAGTTTGAGTCCAAAGTCCAAAAAAAAATGTAAATTAAATTGTGTTACTCAAGACTGTCAACCCATAATTGTGAAAATCTGAGGTTTTTTGGGTTTTAATTACTACTATAGCAAACATCACCAACAGTTAAACAAGTCTAACTAATGAATATATTTGTAACAACTACATTGATTCAACAAACTTAGGCCTAGACTTGCATTTCATTAAAGGATAAAAGTTGCTATGAAAAGTAAATAAGTATACAATATCAACAGTGATCAATTAAATTGAGTTGGAATTAAAATTTTTTGTTGCAATTTCAGATTGAGGGAGTCCTGGAAGACAAGGACTTCCGATCGATGGTAACCCGAGCAGAATTGGAAGAGATGTGCGCTGATTTGTGGGAACGTGTTGATGACCCCATCAACATGGCTCTCAAGTCCGCTGAAATGGGCATGGTGAGAATTAAGGATTTTATGCAGAAATAACAACCAGAATTAAAATTGTGATGGAAAGATTTGTAAGCAATTAATAATTTTACGAAAAACTCATCAATATTTTTTATGTGTATTTTCAGAATGAGATTAGTCAAGTGATTCTCGTTGGTGGAGGAACTAGAGTGCCCAAGGTACAGGAAGCCCTGCTCAAGGCAACTGGAATGTAAGTTTTACATATTAAAGTTATTTATTTAAAAATAAGTTTTAAAAAAGTGTAATAAGTGTAATTATATCCCATCTTGACTAGAAACCAACCAGTTAAGGTACTAAAAGAAATATGCAAAAAAGCAGAAAAACAACCATATTAAGTACTACAGTTTCTATATCCCTAAATTGGTTGGTAATCAATTAAAGATTTTACCAAAAAGTCTGTTTATTGAAGTTGAAGGATATTTTATTTAACTTGCATTTCATTGGGAGTTGAGGCCTGTCCAGACTACTGTATGGTCTTGATGACATCACAACATGACCATATATAGGCACTTCATGACTGTATATGGGCATACAACAGTTTTTTCTCAAATAAAATCTGGAAAGAATTTATGTCTTTTAGTTGATACTTGTAAATGAGGAATCCAATGTATGATGATATATTTTTAATAATCCTGTGGTTTTAATGATTTTGATTGTTATGGTTTTATTATGGATGCTCAATTGATGTGATGTGTGCCGCTGTTAAAAAAGCGTTTTTCCAAATAAATATTATTTATTATTATCTTCCATTTTTGTTTTTAGTGAAATGGGTTTTGAAATGATGTACTACTGGATATTTATTTGAATTATATTTAATGTTTGAAGCTGTGACAAATTTGTGTGATTTTTTCATATCTGGGTGTGATATGAGATTGTCATATTCAGTGGGAAATTGACACACAAATTTCAAATCAAGGCCTATTTACACAGGAAGACAATGGCATGCAGCAGTAGCAGAAAAATAAAGTCTATAAGACGTTCACTCGCACTGAACGTGACGCGACGCGATATAATAACACACACAGCATAGAATAATTTCCTATTTCCAAAAACTGTCGCACAACAAAAAATATTCTGACCAGTCACTGAGTCCGGTCATCCATCATCAAGCATGTGGACTGCATCCTACATCTTTGTTGTTGTCGCATGCTGTGTAAATGGATTGCCCTGCGTGAGAGAATATTGTCACTGTCGCGTGCTATTGACAAGTTTTTTTTTTTTAATTTAAATCTTCCGACACTGAACAAAAAACAAAGAAGTTGGTAGGGGCTGCCGAGGATGGGCAAAAGTATAAAACTGGCATCCGAAGATGTGCCCATCCAAAACCTCCACCAACCCAAAATGTAGAAACAATTTCAAAGAACAATAAGGAAATACAAGCAAAAAAAGACTGACCAATAAAATATTTCATAATGTAAAACACAAAAATCAACAATCATCAAAATATAAAACATAAGAACATCGACGCACCCCGAGAAACAACACCCATGCATGTATTTGTATTCGTATTCGCGACGGGAATGACACTAAGCCGAGTTAAAACTCTCCAATAAATGACTTTTCAGTCTCTTAGTGAAACTCAAAAAAGACTTGTTTATGAGACTATTTCTTGTCTCAAACCCCAGTTCTGATAATACTTTGGGATAACGAATAACTGCACTATACTTAAAGGCATCCGTACGGCGCTTGCATGTTTAAACGTAAGCACATCCCAGCTGTGTGTAGATGGATCTTTCTTGATAGTGTGGAATGAGCTTCAGAAAGTTAAATTGCCAAATTGTATTTTACGTAGGTCTGAACTTGGAAAGAACATCAACGCGGATGAGGCGGCGGCAATGGGTGCCGTCTACCAAGCTGCTCATCTTAGCAAAGGCTTCAAAGTTAAGAAGTTCATTGTCAAAGATGCCAATCTCTATCCTATTGTGGTAAGACATATTCACAGATAATAAATAATAAGCAATTATTATAATGTTTTTAGGGGAATATTCAAGAAGAGTGACATGAAGAAGCTATTGTTGCCTTTAAAAAGCTGACTAAATGTATGTAGAGCCAAAAGGCAAATTTTGTAGTGAATAATATCTGCTATGATTTTCCTTGCTTTAAATCATAACTGTCTATTTATCTGGCTTAAGAAAATATATAAATATAATTGCGATGAAAGAATGAAATTTAAGTATCAGCTTGGACTTTCTGGATATTCTTTTATTTTTATCACTCAGTAACAAATATAATGTCATTGTTATGGATAATAAATACAGAAGTAATCATTATACAGTAACTCATAAAGGCTTTATTTAATGTGGTTCATATTTGCTTAAGAAATAGCAACAACATTTTCTTTTTAATAAAGTAAATGTCATTTGATTCCAATAAATGTTGTGTCTACTTATGACAAAGATTCAACCAATATAAAACTAAAAGTAATGGGAATAAGAATGAGACTATTTATGTTGCAAACATGATCAACATTGCTTCTTTCATTCAAGGTTGACTTTACCAGACTACAAACAGATGATGATGGTGTGACGAATAACAAGAAAGTAAAGAGAACACTTTTTCAGCGCAATAACCCTTACCCCCAGAAGAAGGTCATGACCTTTAATCGTATGACGGATGACTTTGCATTCCATGTTAACTACGCTGAACTTGAGACTATTTTACCAAATGGCTATATGAGGTGAGTTAGTTGTATTACAGTTTTGCTGATTATTGTGATAGTGATAATGATAGGTACCAAAGTTCCCGATGGGAACAATTAATAAAATGTATACTTCCATTCTATAATTGGTAATATTTACTATATTTTGATTTAAACGGAGCAGTTGCAGTAGTATATTTATGGGGTCACAGGTTCATTCCCCCCCCCCAAAAAAAAAGAATAATAATGTTTGTGTTCCCCCAATTGAAAATGTTTGAAGCAAAAATTTTGCACTCCAGTAGTTAAATATCATCTTATTTCACACCTCACTTGATCATGGAGTCCCGCACTTCATCTTCACACCCCTCCATCATCCTCCCCCCCCCATTTCAAGACTCCTACAGTGTAGGTATGCCCTTGAGCAGTTGTTATAACCAAGTCATGTGATCGAGTTTGCATTTTCTTGTGTTAGCTTGTGCATACATTTACTAATTCTTTTTTTTTTTCATGATTTTAGCGTATTCGGGTCTGCGAATCTGAGCAAGGTTGACTTGGGCGGTGTGGCTGAAAAGCTGGAAAAAAATTCCGGTAGTGAATCTAAGGGTATAAAAGCTCATTTCCATATGGATGAGAGCGGAATTCTGAACCTTGTTTCAGTAAGTATTTAGACCAAACATTCTTGTATTGAAGTACCCTTAGAATACCAGACCATTGCTTGCATATAGATTTAACTCTCAAACGATTTGAATGTAATTTTTTTTTTTTTTTTTTTTTTTTTTTTTTTTTTTTTTTTTTTTTCATTTTTCTACATTTTTTGAGGGCCCCTGGTTAAATTGCTCCTTGAATATGCCTTTGTGTAATTATTTATTTTGTTCTATATCAAGGTGGAGTCTGTGTTTGAGAAGATGGTTGACAAACCCGAAAACGAGACAGGACAGTCTACCTTTGCAAGTAAGATTTTACACCATAAATTAGACTAGAGACAGTTGTTAATGTTAGCCTTAGAATAGTGAAATTGTTTAAATGTCATTTTCTGGCCTAGCCCTAACTCTAGGATCTTGTGCCAACCATTGCTCTCCCCATGCATTTTGGTTTGATCAAATGGTAACCACAGTGTTCAGAACAGGGCTAGGAATACACATTTGTCTAACAGGCACACATGTTGTTCTACGAAAGCACATGTTCGCGTATGTTGTGTTTGCGGGACCTTTTGCAACAACATCAAAGAGATGGGGCTTAAGGTGTCAAATTTACTATGTAAACATTAAAAAGTAACTTTTTGAAACATTATACAAATAAACAGTATACTTTGGGCTTGTGTCAGTGGCCTGTGGGCTCTTGAAGAAGGGGGCAGGGATGAATGAAGCCCAAGGCTCATAGCCCCCAAAATAAATCTGGAGGGCCTCTTTTACCATTCCCCTCACCAGCCCCTGACCAGCACTGTTCTATTATAACATACTTGACATACATTGCAGTCCAGTAGAAGCCACAAAACTCGCAAATTAAAACAATTTAATTCCGGGTTTGTAACTAACAAATGTTGTATATTTGGGCTCACATGATAAAACATTGTTCATACTAGGCCTATATTAATTCCTGATCCAAAAGCGTTCCATATCCGGGGCTCCACTATACAAACTGAAATTAAAATAGACCGCATAATCAAGAGCTACTAGAATTCATGAAGAAATCAAATTAAGTAATATATAACAGGTATATATAAGTGGTCAACAGTTCAAGAGGTAATATATTTTTGGGGTGTTTTTTTTTTCCGTTTTCAGAACTTGGTAGTAAAATCATGGACTTCTTTGGTGGCTCCAAAACTGAAGAGGATGATGGCAAAGTAGAAGATAAGCCGGAAGAGACGGAAGAGGCAGCGGAGGAGGAAAAGCAAACTGATACAAATGAAGAGACGAAGGAAGAGGAGACAAAAGAAGCAGATGAAACAAATGAAAAAGCAGACGAGGAGGATGGTGAAGAGGTAAGCAGTCATGTAAAGACATGTAGCAAACGTATATATTAAAAATATGGTTGTGTTTTTTTTTATTGGTTTTATTTAAATATTTGTTGTTATCAATACTATAACTATTGATATCCTTTGTCATCTTTGTAGTTGTTTTTTATACTTATTTGCCCATTTGGCATCACTGCCTGGGAGACACAAAAGCTGGAAACCCACTGTCACCAGAAGCTCTTGGGGTGATGGAAACTGTTATTATTAATGAATGAATTTCAAGTAATTGAGGACAAAATATAAAAATTTGTTGTGTTTCACAGCACAGTGACATTAGAAATATGGGTCAGTCAGTCAGAAAAATTTAATTTTTTTTTCTAAATAGAAATAATTTGAGGTTTTGCTGTGCATTTTGTTTGGTGAAATTATAAAATTATCAAATTTAGAAAGTAATGCTTGAAAAATTGCCATTTCAGACAGACAATTAAGTGGTTAAAAAATATATTCCTCTAGATTGAGGAATACACATATTACTTTTTTTGCCTTATTATTATCAATAATTATTATTTAATACTATTTATTTTTATTGTTGATGTTTTAAATTGATTATTAATTTATTTAACAATATGTTATTGTACAAATAGTCTGAGCTAATTGAGACCCTCAAATATAACATATTATTATTCTTTTTCAATTCAATTCAATTCAAAAATGCATTTATTGACCAAATGATAAACAACAGAGATTAAACAAAAACGACAAATCAAATCATTTGAAACAAAGGTATAGAAAGTAATTTGGCCGAGAGACTGCATAAAAACCTCAATTGACTTGTCTCTGATAATTCCTCTTTAACAAAATACTAAGAGCAGCAAAATAAAAAAAATGTTTGTTTAATGTATGTTTTCATTATAGTTATTGATAAGCAGGAATATAATTTACTGATCAAACACTTGCTAAGTTAACATAGCTGTCTCTTATACACATCTAGATGTGTATAAGAGACAGCTATTACTGTGCTTTCATATTTGAGAGTCAATGTTGGTAAGAGGGGCATGCTTTTGCATATTATGTTTAAGGAGGGGTACGTGTACAAGACAGCTCTTGGGGTGGCGGGCACAATTAACTGAGAAAACATTATGATCTTAAATTTTGGCTTTAGCAAGAAGAAGCGAATGAAGCTCAAAATGATGAGGAAGATGAAAAAGTAAAAGATGAAGCACAAGAAGAGGTGGTGGATGATGACAATGATGATGATAGTGATGATGATGATGATGCCAAAGAAGAAGAGACGGAAGAGGTAGAAAAGGAGGAAGAAAAACAAGAGGAACCAACAGAAGATGAAACAAAACCAGAGGCAACAGATGATGCAGAGAAAACTGATTCAACAGATGACTCTAATGTGAGTTAACATGTTGGGGTAAATCAAGTAGAATAGATAGTGACTGGAAATGGCTGTGTAGTCAATAATATCAGTCAATATATTACTTATATTCTGGTTTAATTCAAACAAATTTTTCATAGCAGCAAAAATAGAATAAAATCTAAGAAACCAGAGAAAATTACCAAACTTTTTTACAAACATTTATAAACTACAATTAATAAAAAGGGGCAATCATTACTGTAAACATTAAAAATTATGATAAAAATATCCAATTATAAAAATCCTATATTATTATATGTAATAATGAACATATTTCATTTTAATTTATATTTACTTACTATTATTATAATAAAAAAAATTATACAATTACAATACTAAAATTGATTGAAATTCCTAAATTATTAACAAAATTTAGTAACAAATTAAATTAACGGCTCAATATTTATATATACAATTTGGAAATTACAAAAAACCAATTTGTAAATAGTACTATCCACTGTTGTTACAAATAAAAACAATGAAACAAGCAAATAAAGGTAGGCCATAACAAAGGGAATTTGATCACTTTAATATTGCCACACTTACAAATAAACTTGAGGTTAAACAACAATTTTCAAAAAGGCAAATTTAAAGTTAACTAGGGCTCTAAACAAAAATTAATTAGGGGGTGGCGAAATTGGTAAAATTATCTGAGAATGCTTTTCTCAAAACCCCAACCATATGTTATAATGAAAGTACCAACAATGTTACAGTAAATTGTGAGTGGTCACATTTTACGGTCTGTACGTAGTCCAGTTTTTGTTAACCCTGTTAATTGTACAATTGTTTGGTGTTGCATGCTCTGACTCACAAACACCAGTTAACCCCACCAGATATTATGTGTTTTTATGAGCACGGTTGGTTTTGGTAGTGCAGGAACGTTTGTAATTGTATCATTGTGTAAAGCTCTGTCCTGCATATCAAATTTTGTTTGACAAAAGACTGTTGTATGCCCATATATAGTCATGATGTGCCTATATATGGTCATGACGCGATGTCATCATGACCATATTTACGCATGTAACATGGTTTTGTTTTTTTTTTTGTTTAATATAATTTGATAGTCTGACCAGGACTTAATGCATGATCAGTAATCAGTACTTTGCATCACATTTGTTAATGGTTGTGTAGGAAGCTTGTGTTGGATTTTTAATTGAATATTTATATATATTTTGTTGTTATAATCTTCAATTTATCAATTAATTGATTGATGCATAAGGTGCATTAAACAGTTCCTTCTATGCTCTGATAAAGAAATACAAGCTAATGAAGCAGACTCCAGCAAACCAAGAAAGAAGTGGGCACGACTTGAAAAATGTTCTCAGGTTGTATCTTAGAGTTTTTCTCATTTAGCAAAATGGTTCTGCAAAAGGTACTTACGGTTGAGGAGAATATATTAATAGCATTTTGTTGATAAACAAAATGTGAGAGGTAAACAAGTTAAATGAGAGTGAGGGTAGTTTATTTACCCTGACTTTCTAGGGTACTTCATTTACAGGATAAAAAAGAGGATGAAGAGAAAAGTAAGGAATCGACTGATGGTGGCAAGGAACCAGAAAAAGAGGACAAGACGGATTCAAAGGATGAAAAGTCAGAGACAGACACAAAGGAGAAAGAAAAGGTGAAAGAGGTGAAGCCTCAGCTAAAAACAATTAAAGAAAATTTGACAGTTACCTTAGAAGTCCTGGATGCACCAAAATCATCCGAAGATACGCATAAGGCGTCTGTTAAAAAGTAAGTGTTTCCTATTTTAGACTCATTCCAAATCGAAGATCCCGGAAAATTCCTACGACTAAGAAGAACCACTTTGTTATACATTATTATTTTCTAATTTAGTAATAGTAAATTTAATTTATACAAAGAAAAAGAAATTGTAATTATTATTATTATTTATTACTTATTATATTAGGATTTATAATGCTCCATGAGGGGAGTATTCCTTGCTATGAGTGTAATCAGCACTACTAATTTCATTCCGAATCAATCACCTCCTACCAGGCCCCTATTTATACTCCTGGGTGAAGAGAGGCCAATGCAGATAAAGTGTCTTGCCCACGGACACAAGCTGTGTGAGGAGCATCGGTCTCGAACCGCCGTCCTTCCTATTGAAAGCATTATGTGCTGTACAATTAATTTTGTTTGGTTTTTTTCTTTTTCAAGACTAAAAGAATTGAAGAAAAAAGATGAAGAGAAGGCTAAAAGGGAACATGCGCAAAACAGCTTAGAATCATTTATTTATGGAATGCAAGATAAGTTATATCAGGACGATTACATTTCATGTTCCACTGAGGAGATGAGGGAGCAGATATCGGCCAGTCTCTCGGAAGCATCTGATTGGCTGTATGATCAGGAGTATGATGCACCAGCTAAGGTACGTACTAGCCAGTGGTGTAATGCCTATGGGCTCTCGGGGATGAGGTCAAGGGTCACCCAATCCTGATCCAGAGGGCCTTTACTAAAGCCTTGTCCAGACTATAAAATTTTATTTGACAAAAACATGTGACATGCCAAAATATGGTCATGATGAAGTCACATGTGGACATACAACAGTTTTTTGCCAAAGGAAATTTTTATAGTGTGGACATAGTGCTTGAGACCCAGTACTATTTGTGGGAATAACATAATTCCCACAAATTTTGAATGGTATTGACTATAATGCAGTTTTTTTAGCCTTAATATGCATAAATGTTTTAAGGTAGGGATAGGATTCTATCAAATACAGTCCCCTATCCCACTTTTGTGACACTTACATAGGCCCCCAATACTTTATTTCCTCTGTGCCCTGTTACTCATCAACGTGCCACTGTATGTAGTGCACAATACGCTAAAGAAGTGATAGATGTAAAATTAAGATTAATGGGTAAAATTCCATTGTTAAATTTAGATTGGTATGCAACTTGATGTTCAGGTAAATGTGCAATGAAACCGTTTTATAGAAGTGTTGATTTTGAATAATTTATCTGTTCACAGTTGTTTGAAGATAAGCTAAAGAATTTGACAAGAGCCACTAAAAAATTAGAATTTAGAGTCGAAGAGAAGAAAAGACGTCCAGAGGCAATTGCCGCATTGAAGGATGCACTCAACACTTCCGTATATTTCCTTCAAGCCGCAAAGAACTTAACAGGCGAAGATCAGTACTTCACAGAAACAGAAATTGGTCTACTAGAAAAAGTGTACAATGAAACTAAGGTAGGTCTAGTGTGTTGAAAATAATAATAGAAAGCTTTTGTTTGGCAACGTTGTAGAATGGAAGGACATCATGTTAATTGAACTTGGCATGTCTAAACGGTTGTCAGCCGAATCTATGTTGAGGCCAGAATGAGGAAATTGTTGCGGCAGTCTTTGAGTTTGTGACATCTCTGTGTTCACCTCGTAAAACATCGAATTTGATTTACAGTAGAATGTACGCTACAGTAGTCACGGATGAGTGAGTTCGTTCTATGTTCTCATTCTACATTCTCAATCGAAAGTTGCATAATAATGCAATTGAGGGGTTTTCAAACTCATTGGCAGACAACCCAAACAAACATCCAGGTAATTTTCCGTGACCCACTTTTTGGGACATTAAAAAAACATACTCAAATTGGTCATTAACCAGTAAACAAAATTAAGCTAAAATGTAGAAATGATAGCAGGATATAAAATTCAATTTTAATAAAATCTGAGAGTCTTGTTACACTCTAATTTATTTGGTGACCTGATTTTGGGTCACAACCCATAGTTTGATGCAAATGTATTAAAACAGGATATTTTCAATGTACTGTATATTGTGTATATTCAATGTATTATCTCTTTGGAGAAAGAACCTCCAACTCGCCAATTCTTTGATAAATTTTTGCGGTGTTTTGTTTAATTGAATGTAATTAACAGTAATAATAACATAACAGTCTGTGGTTGTACTAAGACTTAATAAAAAGATATTAAAAGAACGAAACAAGTAGAAGATTTATTTCTTTGCTGCTTATTATTTTAAGTTAATGTATCTTTCAATATTATGATTTTTTGTAGTTTTTTTTATGGTATAAACTGAAAAGCTCTATTTTAATGCCATTACTTATCTTTACTATATAATTACTCTGAATTTCATTACTGTTTGGTAAAGTTTAAAATGAAATATATTTGAAATACATTTTATGATTTTCAGGAATGGTTTTCAAATGCACTTAAAGAACAAAAAAAGACACCGCTTACAGAAAAGCCAGTATTACTTATTGAAGATGTTATACAAAAAATCAATGGACTTGATAGAGAGTTAAGGTACCTGTCTAATAAAGTTAAACGAACAGCAACCAAGAAGAAGAAGAAGAAGGAAAAGAAAACAAACACTACTAGAGATGGGGACGAAGCTACAAAGGAGACAACAGGTAATTTATAAACATTTAAAAGCTTATAGTTTTTGGGGATTTTTTTTTGAGAGGTTGCATCATGGCACCACTGAACATTGTTTCTGCCGTGGGTATGCGCACTATACAAATTGTTGTCGATTGATTTATTGATTGATTGATGGATTGAAAAATACTTTGTTTTCATGGGGTTTCGAGCCTAACGTTCTCAGGTAATACACTAGTGCTACCAACTGATCTATGAGAGCTAGGAAGGTATACTCTCATGGATTTTTTTCTAAAAACCACATTTCAGATATTCTGAATTCTTGTTCTGGTTAGGTACTCCTCAACGCCTCTAAAAAGGGACATAGTGAGAAAGAGTTGTAATTGTTGACTAAGTTATTGGCTTTTTGAGATTGTTGGTTGATCCTACACTGATGTGCATTTAAAATAAATTGTAATATTGATTCATTTTTCTTCAGATCAGGTTGGGTATCTGGCTATCAAGAAATCAACAAAGAGCAAATAATGCTTTTCTTGACAATAATATCAAAATTAATAATTATATGAAGATAATATGAGAAAATAATTACATTTTACATGCCTTTCTTTGCCAGTTATTTCTGACGTTAATTGTGGGTGGTTTTATTTTATTTTTTTCAACCCTAACATTACCTTTTCCTATACTTTCACACTGATCGCATTGTAAATTCTCCATAGCTATACATTTATAAATTACATTACCGCCTGTAATTTATCGAAATAAGTGTAATCTGAATCTAAACAAACCTTGAGGAATGTGTCTATTAGTGGCTGAAGGCGCAGTCGCTTAAAAATGTTTTTTTATTTAACAAAATACTTATCACTTGTTTATAGAGGATAAAGCTAATGAAGAAACTGTAGAGGAAAAGAAAGAAGGGAATGAAAAAGCTGGTGAAAATGTGGAGCCTGAAGGAGGGGACAATCCAAAGGAAACTGCAGAAGAAACTCCAACACCTGACAGTGAGGGCGCTGTTGAAGATGAACAGCCAGAAATCTTAGAACTTGAAGCACCAGCAGTAGAAGGTAAACACAAAATTTCATTAGTATCTTTGTAGTTGATAATTTTGATGGTATTATTAGTGATTAATGTTTGAATATTTGGGCCAAAATATTTGTTGTTGTGCAGTGCAGTGATATTGAAAATAATTTATATTGTCACCAGGGTTTTGTGTAGTGTGTAATAGATGATTCTGGGTGTCTGGCAGTTAAGGCAGGGTGCTCAACCCTAGCCTTGCTGACAGTGCAAGTTTGACACCCTCTTTACTTGCGGTTATGTTGGTAACCATAAATAACTGGAGGCCAAGTGTACTTAACTGGTTCTTGTCTTTTTTAAAGCACTTAGTCCACTAATGCTGCTGTCTTTAAGCAGATGACATAGCACCTCTCTAGGGCTCCTTTAGAATTACTGACCTTCCCCCACAAAATTCCGCAGAATGGTGCTCCAAGTTATGGGTTAATTCCTACCTTTACATACCTTTAATAATGCAGTGCACCCTTATTCCTCCCCTTATTTCTCTCATTTTAGATTACCATAAGTGACCGTCTTTTTAGAAGGTTAACTTCATGTTAAAAATGATAGACTCATCTTTTAACACAGTCAAAGCTAAAATTCTAATTTGACACTGAAGCCCTAGGTCCTAGAGGTGGGGCTCAAATTGCAGTGCGACCTGTAATATTGTACCAGATACATGTTTCGCAATTTCCAACATCATCATCGTCTTAATATTCATAATCATCATTTCTGTGTAGTGGTTGGCACAGCGGTTGCGTTTTGGCCTCACACGGTCGTGTATTCAACTCTTTCGCTGTGCATTTAGTTTGCGTTCTTGGACAAGGCACTTTACTTAACATTTCTCACCATACACCCTTCGAAAGAAACCAGCCTCCCTACCACACAATGCCGATGATGCGCTAACAGCTCATTCCCCTACGTTCAGTAATGAGTTTAGGACTACCTTTACCTTACCTATCACCATTGCTATCATCATGAGTCACCATCTACTATAATCATTATTTATCTCCTCACTGCCAGTGCCACAACAAATATCAATCATGATAATAATGATTTGCATGCAAACCTTGCTACATCTACTAGATTACCAAAATTTTTTTTTCCTCTATGCAGGTGAAGAGGATACATCCAAGAAGCCATTAGATAATTCAGAGCAGCCGCCGACAGAAGCACCAACAGAAGATGACACTACTAAAATGAAAAATGATGAATTATGATGTAAATTGTGTGTTTAGAACGATCGTCTCATACTGTATTTGTACGTTTTTGTATAAGGCTGGGCACTCACTGGGTCATACGACGGTCGTATGACCGTCGGCTGACAAATCCAGCTCCGCCCCCTGTGAGTACTAGATGATGCGACAGCGTCTGCTAATTGTCAGTGGCAGCCTGAAAGGATCATGATTAAAAACTATCCATTACGCGTTCGTCATTGCGTTCGTTACATTCTCCTTAGGATCATCGCTGCCGTCAGACGCAGTGAGTGCCCGGCTTAAGTGTTGTTCCGCAGCGTCGGTGCTTTGCCGTACAAGCGTGCGACCCCATTTTGATCATTCTGCGGGGTGTACCAATCATCTTGGTACATTCCTCAATATTTTTTTCTTTCTTGGGCTTTTTGACTTAATTTAAAGGAGTGAATCATCAAACAAATTGTGCTTATAATAATTCTGAAATAATACAATATATATATATATGTGATGTGTTCTTACAAAACCTGGACGATTGCGCAAAAATAGGTTTTAAACTTAAGTATACAGCACAAGTAGCACATACCATACATGAATTGCACATACAGTGAACATAAACAAAATTGTAACTTGTGTTTTTCAAATGTGGATAACTTTACAGTACAGTAAAAATATCAAACTTGATAGTTCAGACCGAGTTTGTTTTTTTTTTAAATGTTAACTTGCTGTTTTTCGGGGGTTTTGTGGGAACATGTCACGTATTGTGGAATTTTTTTGAAGATACACAGCATTTTCAAACCTTATGACTAGTACACCTTTTCATGATGTAACGCATAATACTAGGATAGGACAGACAAAATTTAATTTTTGCAAGTGTTAACTTGTTTATGGACAGAAAATTTGGCCTGAAATATTTGTATTGAAGAGTATAAATTGATAGCGAACGTTGTGTTGTCCAGTGTCATCATCAGCTGGGGAAGGGGGTGTGCAAGTCTCCATTCGCACATGACTCGTCAGATGAATAATTGGGAATATTTTTCGCATGATGGGTTTGAAAATGTCTCAAAAATTAAAATGGCCTGAAATTTTCTGGTTTTTCTAGGTGCCTGCATCTCGGTCTCCCAGATTCCGCTGCTCTATTTCAGAAATTGAGTAAATCTTAGCATTACCACTGATAAATTCCTCTCCTATATGTGTCTACTATAAACTGTTAGTAATCAGTACTCATAGCAGTCCTTATTTACTATTTGAAGGGCGCACTCTATTAACTGGCAAGAAACTTTCCAATCATTCCAATAAATTGAAATCTTTTGTGCTGAAATGGAATCAAGTCACTCCTTTTCTATACCTTAAAAATACTAGCTACTAAGTTATAATTTATTGAACTTGCATTTTTTAACCTTAATTGGTGTATGAGAATATTAAAGTCTGCATTTTTTGTGTTTAAATAAAGAGTATTATTGTATTTAATGCAGCTGTTTGATACGGAGGTAAATTAATTTTAAAATATCTGCAATATATTAAGTTGAAATAAATTGTTTAAAGAATTCACAACAGTTTGTGTCATTGTTACAAAGAGGATTACAAGTGGTGTGTTGTATTTGGAACACGCTGTTTTACTTACAATGACTTACAGGATGGATTAAATACTAATGACATTTCAATCTCCTATGTCATATTATTATTATTATTTTACCATGGAGGTATAAATAAATTACTTATAGAGATGACCATTTTGCTATAAGAACCTAATATAGAATTGGATGCATTTGTTTAAAAATCTGTTTAGTAAAGTGTACACCAGACTGCAGCAGAATAAATATAAGAGAATACCAAGACTTTTATACAAGATTTTTATTTACCTCAAGACCCCATGTTTTCAATAGATTTTGAGGTTCTATAAAATACATACATATTCCTGAGTCAGGTTATGTGTTTTACCTGCTTGTTATCTTGTTAATAGGCCAATTTAATAAAAATAATGTGTCATCAGGCAATACGCTATAATAAATATATACTGTACTGCATTCATACCAATTTAATATATTTTCATTAACATGACATGAAACCAGCAGTGCTAAACCCAGAGTTTTCCTAAAGGGGTGTCTTGTGCTCCTGCCCTGGAACTCTGTCCATATTAGTTTAGTTTATTGTTCAAACCTTAAATTATTCTTTGTCCTTTTTAAATAAAAATGCAATTTAATAAAAATGATGTGTCATCAGGCAATACGCTATAATAAATATAGACTGAATTCATACCAATTTAATATATTGCACTACAATAAGAGTGGCGTTATTGTATTTTCATTAAAACAATTCCAGTGTAATTCCAGGCAGAAACAAAATGTTTCCAAAAAATTAATTTAGTAAATAAATATCCTAGGTAAACATAAACTCTTACTATTAAAGTTATATAGTGTCTTTAAAATATTAATATATTTCACATATACTGAACATTATGTATCCACAATTTCATTACAATGGTCTGTTGCTAGCCCTGCTTTTGATTTGGCAACATGAGCATGAAACAGGAGATGCTATGCTGACTAAAGCCTTAATATTGGTGCTTGATCAAGCTGCTCTTTGGCCAGGGTTTGGTTTGGTAGAAAAAAGTGTACTTGCATAAGGACTTGAAATGGAGGTCCTGTGTGCACCCATTGTATTTTCGGGAAGAGTAAGGGATGCTATGGTGGATGTAAACATGAAGCTACTATAAGAACCTCTTGTACAGCAGCCAGATAGTCACAGACCACGCACAAATCAGCACAATGATTCCAATTTTAATTTTATTTAATTAACATTTATTCAATTAATTAATTTATTATCAAATACATAAATTGATAAAGTGGACAACATTAAAATTGATTAATTAGGATCAGAAATAGAAGCAAAGCTTTAGAAGCAAAGCTTGTCTCAATTTGACACTGACAAGACAAAAAGTAAAAAACTAATAATAATAAATGCATATCAAGTATATATATATATATATATATATATATACATACAAACACATAATTCACACAGAATATACATACTAAAATAATACGATGAACATAAGTTAAGATTGGTACATTTCTAAATGATATTTCTTCATCTGCTTTCTAAAAGTATGGGTTCTATTGCAATTTTTAAACTTAACATGAGTATCATTTAATAATTTCAGTCCGTATACAGAAATAAAAAATTGGCTTTTAGTTAGTCTTACAAAAGGAACGTGAAGTGAGTTTGAATTTTTTAAATAATAACTGTGTGTAAGTTTATAATCATGAAATAAAGCTAATACAGAGGTTGGGAGTTGACCTTTTGTGCATTGAAACATAAAAGAAGTAACTTGTAATAATTGTTTAGATCCATAATTTTAGTTTTTTAAATAGGTTCACAAGACGATGCAAATGAAGCTAAATCAATAATTCTGACAACACGTTTTTGAAGCTTAAGTAATCTATCCAGGTTCCCTGCTCCTCCATATAGGGCTTGACACAGGGGTGTCACAGTGTACATTTTATATTAAAATCCAGATCAGTATGTTTCCATATTTAGATCCTGAATAAGTGAATTTGCAGGAAAGCTTTGATTTGCGCGAGTGATGTAGAGTGTCAGATGCTGGCGCAATGCAGGATTTGGCGGTAGGGCCCACCATAGTTGGGGCTGTGGTGAGAACATTTTAAGAATATGATCCTATTGGTGCCCGGAAATTGCACTCTTATACCTTAAAAATTTTACTTGCACTAGGCCTATGTCCATATCAACAAATACAAGAATTTTTTTCTGTACGAAACTGAACATAAGTCTTGCTAAATTCCCAGCGCTGTGGTTTTTTGCATTGCTCACTTTTCTTGGATGTTGTCACGGTTGCGAAAAGTCAATGATTTTTTTATCTAAGGAATCATTAAAATCTAGTCTTCCTTGTATCACTTGCACTGTGGCTTTCCTTTTGCTCCTTATTACCATGTGATTCTCACCTATACTCTGAAAAAACAAAAAGCAGAAATTTTTTAAATATTTTACTGTCTGGTTTAAAAAATGCTGTTTTTAAGTTGGTTTGGTCCTTAAATTTGGAATGTACTTGCTCCACTATACATAACTAATATTGCATTCTTTAAATCCAGGCTCCGGAAGAAACAACCTTTTTTTTATATTCAATTGTGCAAAACATCAAAAAATATTTTCCTCCCGAGCTCGCTCGGCTTTAAATATATACTATAATGCCTATGATGAGCTATTATAATTTAAATTTCATATGTGAATTTTCTAGCTGGTATAGGTACTGCATGTGTGACCATACTCATGTAAAAAGTGTTATTTTCCTAAAGAGGCACATAATTTATGTTACGTTTTTAGGGCCTGACAAATGCTAAAATTGCTAAATAGGTTATCATATTAATAGGACATTAAGAACATGTTTAGGGTCTGTGTCGTCGTATGTCGCAGTGCAGACTGGAGTCGGACCAGCATCACATCGGCAACTGCGCGTCTCGCCAGGCGTCCCGCACAATTCAGCAGTTTTTATCCCTTCCCATTTGAGATGGTTCATTCCCAATACTTACTTTGGGATAAGATTACAATTTATTACTCTGCATTGCAAAACATATTTAGACCTTTTTTTTCTGGAAGCATGGCCACACCAAGTACCCACCTCCGGGATGTAAAGTTATTAAACATCAATTAAAAATTAGAATAAGAAAAACTTGTCCCTGCCAATTAAGGAACATATAATTTGATAATATGATTTGTATGTTCTTTTGCATTGAGTATTAAATTTGCTAGTACAGTACTCACTTTTAAGGACTTTTATAGTAGTTTAATGTCAGTTTAAATCAGAAAAAACAAACTGATACCACTACATTATGATTATAAGTACAAAACTATTGTCAATGTTACTACAGTAGGCCCCCTATTAAGGGGGACACTTTTATGACTAAAAAGTGTCCCCCTTATAGGAGATGTGCCATTATAGGAGATGTGCCATTATAGGGGTGTCCCAAAGGAGGGGTTCTAGTTTTTACTTTTTACTATTATCTCTATCATCACATTAAAACTAATCTTATAGAATTCCTTTTTATTAATTACGTTGATCTCCTTATGTTTTATATCGAAAGTGGGCAAAGTGCGGCCCGCGGGCCGCATACGTCCCGACAGCAATTTTTTTTTTGGCCTGTGAAAGTTAATTAATAACCCTATTGTGCTGCCCGCCAAGCAACACTGTTTTTTATGACCTGACACCGATCATATGTAAAAAGTAACATTAAAACTGTGAATAAAGTGGTGTAAAAGCAGTCCTAGGAGGTTTTTGGAAGCTCACTGGAAACATCAAAGTTCGGGTGCGGCCTTCAGTGTTAATTCAAAACTTCACTTTGGCCCTCCGACTGATTTTATATGATATTTCATTAATTTTTCTTTTTGATTCATGAAACTAGTACTTCCATCATGAAATCTTAGAATGAAATCTCATTACGAGTTTAATATACTGTAGTGTTTATTTTATTTATAAATACCTGTACAATGGGAATACCTGTAATTTATAACACTGCCTTTTTCAAAATAAAGCTAGGTAAGGTGGAAAATGTATGGGGGTGTAACAGCAGTTTATAGATTTATCAACTCACTAGCGTGTCTAGCTGTTCCAGCAACCTCATGAACTCCTCCTGACACACTGCTAACCTCTTCTGTAACCTTTTTAAAGCATCTGCTACCAAGTCATCTGGTAGAAACCCCTGTGAATAGGTTTAAACCACAATTGTGTAATGATATAACTTTTGAAATTATATACAAATAATAAACTTTACTATCTCTGAGTCCTGTAAGTACAATAATTATTCGTGATATTACCTTTTGTATACCTTGAATTTCTTCCTGTATTTCAAGTTGTTTCTTTTCAAAATCCGCAGTTTTCTTCTCAATGTCTTTGATCTTCTTGAAATTAACATCAGCTTCTATATCAACCTGCAATTATTTTTGGTGTTTTCTTGAGAATATGAATGCTTGTTAGTGTACAAGTACAAAGTTTGCCATTTAATTCCATCAATTTTTAAACTCAACAACTGACGAATCAGAACACAGCTAGGAATATGCACATGTCCCAAAAACATGTGTCGTCCCACAAATGTGTGGGATTTCATACCTTTACGTTGTTATTTTATGGAAACTTGGCATTAACATTCAAAGGGTCGGGCTTAGCAGATGGGCCCATTGCAATATTCAATCCAATAGTACTGTACCTTTTTGCCTATTAACATTACTTTACTGCCATTTTTTAAACCAACTTCTTGGAGTAGCTGACTGGGATCATTCAGTGATTTTCCTGTTGAAAATAAGAATCATTCATATTACTGTTATATTGTTATATAGTTGAACAGCCCCCCCCCCAACCTCCTTTCCTTTAGACACCCCTATAAGACACCCCCAATTAAGGAAACACTATTTTGGCCGCAGAGCTAGAAAAAGTATTACTTCTAACACTACAGCCCCTATCCTGGGGACACTTGTCCTATTATTATTCTTTGGCTTTGAACGGGAACTTCCCAAATCCGTATTCAGGAAACATGCGAAGGAGAACTAATTATAAAACTAATGAATTATTATTATTATGATGGTATTAAGATAAAATTATTAATGTTGGATATATGACAAACATTTTAAAAGAATTTTAAATAATTTTGAATTTATGAACAACTGAGTATTATTTATGATGTTTGAAATATAAAATATTTATGAATGTTATTTTGAACTCCTTGAAGGATAAAAAAATAAATAAAAACTTATTACCTTTAAATATAAGTTTTTGAGATTCAACAGGAACATTTGTAGCATTCGCAGCAGCATGTTTGAGATCGAGGACTGTGAGATCATTGCCTTCAGTATTATCTACAGAAATTTTGTGTTTACACTGACCTGAGTTTTGAAGGAGAAAATTGAACTTGTATCAGTTAGAAGGTAACACATACATATAATTTTCACAGTAAGTTAAAAGTTAAAAATTGTCTACATACACACATTTTCATATTTTTTTAGATCTGAAAAATGTTGAGCACTCTTTTTATTTTAGTTATTGAATACAATTACAATATACAATATACTAAAGCTTAGGCCTACATTGTTTAAAATTAATTAAAATTATCGAATAATTATAACAAAATAGTAAAGAAAAGGAAAAGCAATCTTACAATGCAGAATTATGAGGTCCATACTAACAATTTTTCCAGTGACTGAACACTTGTTGTTTCACACTTTAAAAATCTCTGCCCTGTCATAAAACAAACAAAAGTCATTAAGTAAAATATTGAAAAACTTGAAATTATTACTGGGCAAAGCCTAGGCCCTAAGATATTCATACTGTAGGCCTATTTATTATCTCCGTGGAGGAACTCTCCGATTTGTTCAAAGGCTAGTTGCAAGGTAGGTGCTATCCACAATCAATTTTCATCCATCATGCAAGAACCACATCATTCAATAGATAGAAAATAACTCGGTGGAGGTGCTATTTTATTTAGACTATTTATCTAATTTATGCCCAGGTACGGACTTGCTTAGGCTATTTAGATACTGTAGGTGTACTAGTCTATCAAGAATCGCCCTAGCCTAATAGGCCTACCGAGGCCTAGGCCTAGGCTAGAAATCTGAGTGAGTCCACCCACTTTCCAGGCCTGCCGCGCAGTCGACTATCCATCCTGACCTTGCCTGACTCTTCAGTCTTTGGCCTGGCTGTGATCGGGTTTACTAAATGAAAGTAGCAAATTACAGATATCATTATTATATACAAATTGTACCTTGATATAGTAGAATTAAACCTTCATATAAATCGGTTTTTGCAATTTATGTTCTGATTGTTCATAAACTTTGATAATTGCTGAACCGGATAACATAAACTAGGCCTAATTCCTCCATGATATCATGCGATCATATCAATCAATCAATCAATCTATCAACAAATGAATAAAATTTACTGCAGAGCGCCCTCTTACGCCAATAAAAGTAAAGGAAAGGTCCTTAATACCTCCATGCTAGTACCGTACTCGCGCGAATAAGCGCCCCGTTTGAATAAGCGGCCCTATCGAATAAGCGCCCCTCATAACGAGAAAATTTCCTTAAGCGCCCCTTTTGAATAAGCGCCCCCAATCAATCCTGGGACTGTGGATGTTGGCATGATTTGAGGTGTGGAGTGGAATCACATTCTCCTTTAGTCAATATCAAAGTGAGGATAGGCTATTTATCTTTGACAGAATGATAAGAGCTCCCTGGACAGACAGATATTCCAACTTTCATCTTCTTTCATTTGTCTATAGTTTTCCGACAATTTGCACCTCTAACACATTCTCATCCAAGTTTTCAAGAAAACCTGCAATGATCATGCCGTCCTGCTATTCTCAATCGACCGATGGCGAACAAGCTAACCACCACCACTAATTTCATCTGTTATTCTGCTGTTATGTAATACTGTACTCACAACATTCTTGTCATGAGAAGCCATGCTCTCTGGACGATTATCTTTTCCGCCGCAGCACCATTCGTAATTTGCGGTTTCCTGATGTCCTTATTTAATAGTTTTTCATTCAAAATGTGCCTCTTGGATTTAATAAGTTCTCATAAGAACCCCTCGATTTTCATCTATTTTCATAAGCGCCCCCTCAATTTTCACTCTGTTTTTATAAGCGCCCCGTTCGATTAAGCGCCCCGTTTGAATAAGCGCCCCTCAAAAAGTGCAAAAAATATTTTAAGCGCCCGGGCGCTTATTCGCGCGAGTACGGTATTCGTAGGAAAAGATCAGATTTATTTGCTAATAAGCAGACCTACAGTATGCTACAGTCGTTACATTTCTTGAAGGTTTGCATGGCGAAAAATCATTAAACTTTCGGTACACCATGTGTAAAAATATGGTTTTGAGGTAAAACTGGTTGATTGTCTCGATTTCTGTTTGCAAGGACCACCAGTGGAAAAATAAGTTTTACTTTTTGGACTTTTTCTTTTAATAGTGTCATGTTTTTCTGCAATTTTTATTTTGTCTTTTGCTTTCCAAATCGTTTCTTGTATGTATTTCTTATGAATTTGATTACGAATAAATTCAATCAATCAATCAATCAACGTTTCAGTGAGATTTCTCCTCAGGTTGTCGTCGACAGTTTTGGGCGAGGCTACTGATTGGGTCCGTCGAATCGGGGATCTGGAAGTCTTCGTGAATGTGTCGAGAACAGTTCAGTGTAGCGATTTAATGGTTTCCTTAAAATTGTTAGAGTGTTTTCATTGCAAGCTGCGTAGCAGTCCCCGACGCAATCTGGAATGTTCCGCGATTCGACCGACCAATTAAGCTTGGTTTCCGTAGAAACAGTCACCGACAGTTTGTCGACTTTGCCGATTGCGTTGCAGGCTAATCTGGGTGCCTAATTCCTGATTGCCAGGACAGCTATCAACGCACCCTGATTCGTCTGCAACGAAAGAAAAGATAAACTAATTCCTCCATGGCTGTACTGTGTAGCAGTCCCCGACGCAATCGGGAAAGCTTCCCAATTCTACCGACCAATCAGCATCCACCAAAAGCTGACGTCGGCGATAGCGTGTAGCGATTGTATGGAAACCAAGCTTCATAATGTGTGGGACTGAAGAACAACCTGAGAGATGAGAAAGACTATTGGATAGTGGTCGTGAAGTTGGAATTTGAGAAAACAAAAGAAAACGAAGAAGGAATGTGGATGGAACAGACTGGATACAAACAGGGTACACCTTATAGTAAAGGATTTCAGGGGGAGGTAGAGAACCTCAAAGGAGGCAAAATCTGAAGTATGATTTTGATTTTACAATTCTACAGTAGAGCCTATAAAAATGCACAGGCTTACAGTATTTACCAGCTCCACCCGCCACCCTGCCTATAACAGATCATGCATGCACCGTCCAAGTAGCTTTTTTTTTTTTGGTCCCTCTCTCGCCGCTTACTTGCAGTGCTGTGCAACAATTAAAAATTGCTTTGAAGCAAAATACGACTATAAGTTGAACCAACTTTCAATTATCATGCCCTGGATCTCGAAGTGTGCCCTATACATACAATATAACGCTGCTAATTTTACACCACGTGATCTGTTGAATACAGTGACGCACAGTAAACTGAGTATTATGGGTTGAGTAAATAACGTTCATTCATGCGTATAAATATTCAAAAAAAGGCACAATGCTCAAAATAAATACCCCCTTTCGAAGGTCAAGTGTTGGTTGCCATTGTGACTAGAAAATAACAACCTGTGTCTGAAAGAATTGTGCTGTTAAAAGTGCCTGATTTGAGAAGCAAACGGAATCAATATAATATTGCACGGTGAGTAGAAAATGTGGACTGTTTTACCTGAACGAAGAGAGTACTGTATCTGATGTATTTATCTGGGCTGGCCTAACTCTGTAGCCGGGGCCTAAAATTAACTCTGAAAAATACCGGGACCGGGGGCGTCCATGCCCTATCAGAGATTCGATTGTTTTGTTTTTTGGTTTTTTTTTTGTGTTATTTGTCGTTGCTTAAACTGACGCCCGTGCTTAATGATAATGATATAGAAAGCCCCTATCAAGCCGAGCATTATGCCAAATATAAAGTAACTACATGTGAATTCTCATGTAAAGCAGAGATTATTATCAGTGGTAATTACATAGGCCTACGTATAATATTTTTTATTTAATTTGCTGTATTCAGTGTTCTTATTTTTTCTCTCTTCTTTATTTTGTAAGTAACTTTGATATTTATGTTCCAGTGGCCTGCTGGCAAATAATATTATGTAATCTTCAATAGGCCCACTGTCACAGTGAATTGAGTTAGAACGGTAAGTAATACTTGAGGAATAAATTCAGTATTTAATGGCTTAATTCCTAGACACTTAGTTAGGCCTATTAATAAATATTTTGGCAGATAAGAGTTGGTGGTACGGACCTAATTGACATTATAGCTCTTATTTAATTGAAAATTCGTATTTTATTTTCTAAAAAACACGAAGGTTTTTTTTTTGTTTTGTTTTTTTATTTAACAGACAACACATTATAAACTCTTAAGATACATAGATACAATATTCCAAATTTATATTCATCAACAGTCAGTGCGAAATAATATCCTGCAAATTAATTGAGATGCCGCGCCATGGGGACCAATCAACTTATTATGGTTTAAACTCAGCAGAACCAATACCATCACCTTACGGTAAGTAGGCCTATGCAAATAATAATTAAAACAAAGCAAAATTTGATATATATTATAGCACTCAGGTATTTTTTTAATGAAAAGACAAAAAAAAATGATATTGATATAAAACTTAATATTATGTGTCAAACGTTCGTAAAGTCCTACTCGACAAATCCTATAGTCAAAAAAGATCATTTTCTTACAGTACTTTTATGATGGATAATTGCACGATACGAAGATACTGAGGTACGCCCTCAGGTGGTCGTAGGAGTTCTCTGCACAGTTGTACTGTCCCTCTCCCTGTTTTATTATCATTATCATCCCACACCATTCACAATCCCCATGATCATTATCATATATTTATTAATTTATTAATATGGAACAAGGGATGTCAAAGAAAGGTAACAGTCTTTAGAGCTCACGACGCTAATACCAAAACAACGAATAGAGTGTAAATTATGATTAGGCCTCAGCTATCTTGCATATCAACCGTCTCGCATCGTGTGGGACGGTCCCGCATTTCAAAATGATTTTGGATGAAACACGCATTTTGCAGAAGCACATGCGTGATCATAAATTTGTCACGCATTAGTACAAGTCTATGCGTGATAAAAACGAATTATCATAAATTCGGAGGAAAATGTATTTAAAATTAGAATTAATTGATAGTAATTGTTATTGTCGTGATGGAATAATAGACAATAACCGGATTTCCACGTCAGGTAGGGCAAAAAAAAAAAAAAAAAAAATTACACCTACAATAAATTGGTTTTATTAAAAATATATAACGGTCATACAGTGACAGAAACTGTAGTTAGCATCAAAGTATCGCAGTCAGACAAAATGCAGTATTTACGCATTTAAAATCTCAGGTTGGCTATGAAATTCGTTGGAAGCTAAGTTAAGTTTTTCCCTAGTGTTTAAATAATATAGTCATCTGCTGCCATTTTTACATATTTAATGTTTATCATTGTTCTTTTAAAGGTATATGTAGCGATCAGCAATTTTGGTTTGTTGCACATCGTCTGCAAGAGGATTGGCGGTCACTTGCAGTAGTATTAGGAGTACCTCAACGAGATATCGCAATTATTGCGAAATCACATGCTACGGTGGTAGATCAAACATTCGCTATGCTACAGAGCTGGAGATGGCGGGCGATGAAATGGAGACCTGCAGACGAGGCAGCAGCCCAACTTATCGGTGCGTTGGCTGAAGTCGGCAAGAGAAGTCTGGCGGAACATGTCGAACAACAATTCAAAATGACTCAAAATTTACCGTGATAATGATTGGATGAAACTTAGGACTTCAAACATTCTTAGACGATAAAGTATGAAGGAAAATATTTATATGTCATCCTCGCCCCCACCCCCTCAACCTTATAGCAAAAGGGTGTACTGTACTGACTTTTATTTAACTTGAAACGTGGGTAGGAATGCATACGGTATATCGTAGCTTTCAAATAATTATTTGTTAGATAAGAATTAGCATTATGCAATCTCAAATGGACTTTGCCCTTAACATCACTAAGCCTATTACGAATTTAAACATATTTTTTTGAAAATAAGAATGGTCAAGATTACCATTTTATCTTTTTATATGTTTTGTGGTGAAAAAACCCTCAAAGTTCTCGTAAGTAATCCGATCACTCGAGTAACACCGAACCCAGAGATACACTTATATAATTATACTAAATGTCTTTCACCCCATTGTTGTATTCTGATAGTATTCTTACTTAATTTGTATAATAAAATGTTTATCATTGTTATCTATAGTGTGCCAGGATTTATACAATGAATATCGACTCAATGCGCTTTTAAAATTAACTTATTGTTTAAAGTAACTTTAGTTACTGAAAAAAATAATCTATTAAAATGACGGCGTTGAGTCATAATTGTCTTGGTTTCACAAGCTTACGAAATCGATTTATACTGGATTACGTCATCAAATGGTTACGTCATCAAATCACAAGCCAACCCTGCACAATAACATCTTTATCACAACACAGGCGACCCAATAAATCTACGATCATATTAATTCAGCTAGTTATAGGCCTGCATATATTGTTTAGAATAGAAAGATTTCGCAACCTTACAAAAACGATAACGAATACGTCATTATCGTTGTCGTCATTCTTCGCTGTACGAGCTAAATATAATCCTTGATTCGATTCATGCAAAGGACATGAAATTGATGACCGTATTCGTTACCATTTTCATAAGCTTGCGGAAATCGCTATTGCTGTAGGTACGAATGACGACGATAATGAAGATGCGAAATCTCCCCTTTCTCACACAAATATTTGTGCCATATGGATTTGTCATTGTTTTTTCAACATTAGCGAGTATCCGGGTACAATAATCAATCATCGTTTCGACTGGTTAAATTCTTAACAATTAACCCGTAAAATCAGGATGTATAAATACTGTAGCGGTATTATTATAAAATAATAGCACAGTTATGTAGCTTACTCAGATGTACAGGTCTGTAAAACAAGTATAATACACTTTTGGGCCTATCAATTGTTTTAAATATTGCCGCTGCTGCATTATGAAGTGCTCTTCCTCTTGAGATTAAAACCTCATCTTCTGTCAGTATGTTTAAGAAAAAGTTAAAAACCTATCTCTTCTCCATTTCATTTCAAGTTTTTTGACTCACATTTAAATTGTTTTTTTTTTGTTTTGTTTTTGTATTTTAAACATTTTTCATAATCTTACAAAAATTGTTAGTTAACATCAATTGGTAGTTAATTTGCACTTTGAATATTGCCATTGTCATAGCCCACTAAACATTGCATTCTTCCGTGGATATCGGCGATACATATAATGATTGTTGATTGGTTGATTGATTGATAGATTGATTGATATATTGATTGATTGATTGATAAAATTATCAATCGTTTTGACTAATTAGTTAAATAGGCCTACTTAACATTTAACCTATAAAACAGGATGCTTATATATGCTTTAAACTAGTTTATAATTTCAAACTGTTTCATTTTCATTTCATTTTTTGGTTCCAAGAACAATCAAACAAACAAAAGCGTATTGACAGAGAGGACAAAAACAACTCAATTAAACGGACATGGTTGCAAAATTTAACTAAATCTGTCTAGTGGCTCTCTGATGTTAGTAAGAACATGAAATATCATAATAGAGTCAATGTAGATATAATCATTATATATATATATACATATATACATATATACATATACATTATACATAATACCTGTCTCTTATACACATCTAGATGTGTATAAGAGACAGGCACTGATCTCACTAGTGGATCACATAAACAAAAAAGTAGAACAAAAACAAACATAAAAAAAATATACAGAAACTTAACTAAAATAAAAAAGAACCAATTCAAATGAATTAAAAAGAAGGCAAGAGAACAGAGGGTGGTCAGAAAGATATAAT